ATTTTAAAGAGTATTTATTTATTTGTAAGTCCGTTTATTTATTTCTGCTTCTATTTCTAATTATATCAGATTCAGCCCTCCATAACACGTGGCTCAACTCTCGTCTAAAGGATGAAGGTTGTATTTTTCTTGAAATTACCTTCATAGTTTTAACTCCCTGGCAAAGGTCTAATAAATGCCGCCACAGTTACTGTGTGCAAAAATGATAGCTCAGCACAAAGAGCTCCTCCAAAACTGGATTCTTAGTGATTCTTTGCTACTTCGATAAGATGTATAGGGGTGTAAAGGAGAACATAATGTTGGGTTGGCATGGGCAGGAGACATATGTCCGCCTCTGTGAATCCTGGGATTGGAGCCAACGCGAGAAGGCATGATAGGAGAAAGCAAGCCTTGGTAATCAAATAAAGGACAGGAGAGAATCACTTATCACTTACAGAACARTCAGCGCAGCCTATCTTTTATTCACTAGCCTAATCAATGCTGTCGTCACTTTAGTTTATTGCATTTGTAATGCCAGAATATTGACTCAAAGGGTGTTTGCAGACACAGCAGATTGTGTGTGTGTATGTCTGCACACACAGTCTTGTGTTTTGCTGCTACCCATTGAGTTCAAAAGCATCTAAATATCTCTAAACTCAGCGTGTTAAATGCATTTGTTGAGCAAGGCAATTGACCCTGGTTTTGGGTGTGTTTACCTTATTATTCTAAGCGTTTCTCATTGCTGTACTAAAGTTTTATTGCGGGAGTGCTCGGAATATTGATAGTCTCTTTGGCTCACTYGTGTCTCATTAAAAATTCATGGGGATTTGCGTGGCGATCTGGCTGCATGACAAAAGAAAAACGAAGGGAAAACCCYGAACGTGGTGGAACAAGCCTGCTATCTGGTGGTCAGTGTAGGAACAGAACAAGCTGCTTTGCAAAGCCAAGTTACCAGATAAACATGCAGTAGTTATTATGATCAGTTAGAATACAAATAAACCTTTCAATATCGGCACTAACTGAACTATTTTTTTTTTCATGTCAGCTTGCAGGACGGTGGTGCAGGCAGACATAGTCTTTCTGGTGGATGAGTCATGGAGCGTGGGTCAAAGCAGCTTTTCCAGAGTCAAAGCCTTCATCTCAGCCATCATCTCCTCCTTTCAGGGCAACATGCTCAGAGCTGAGGGGGTTCGCTTTGGAGTCACTGTCTTTGGGGATGTTCCAAGGTAGCCAAGCACGAGTTCACAACTCCTAAAAGGCTTTTGTTTCCTGTTCTGTCACTGCTACATGACCCAGTTTTGCCTTCATCCTTGTCGTACAGGATGCGGGTTGCTTTGACAGATTACAGCTCACTCGAGGAGGTGCTCGGAGCCATCAGAAACCTCCCCTACGAGGGTGGGTCCAGGAGGACGGGCAGCGCCCTCCAGTTTCTCGTTGATTCCGTGTTCAGCCCTGCCATCAGCCGAGATTTCACCCCGAAGGTACAATCCTTTAAAAGCTCGGATTAGTCACAGGTGCCTGATCAATCTGAAAACTGAAGAGTGATAAATGTTTGACAAATGTGCTGAAGCTAAAATAACTGGTAGAAGATTGATTTGAAATTACAACCCACAGTGCAAACACACACACACACACACACACACACACACACACACACAC